TGACAGCCTTGCCCGCACAGCTTTCCATGAAGTGGGCGGGTACTCGGGGCTCTTCGACAAATACCTGGGAGCGGTGACTTCCCTGACGGTGTCCGAGGATCCCGCTATTGGCAACATCTCCAGCACCTGCTATCAACCGAGGCCTGACTCCTATCACTTACTGCGTGACCCGGTGACAGGGGACCTGCCGTGGCCTGCACTGCTCCTGGGACTTACCATTGTCTCAGGCTGGTATTGGTGCAGCGACCAGGTGAGGTCAAGGTTTGGAGTGGTGTGTGTGTGCACACCTGGGACGGAACTTTAAATGCCCTGTGCTGGTTGACAGGTGGGCCTGACACCACCCTTTGGAGTTAGGTTGAAGGCAGGGCCTGAGCTGATGGAATCAAGCCAGGGTGGATCTAGAAGTCAGAATCCACTGGCAGGATCTGAGGATGGAAATGTAGTAGGGGGCTCCGTAGAGCTAGAGGTTGAATATGAACTTGAGTAGGGGTGAAGGCTAGTATTAAGAGGCCATGAAGAGTGGAGGCAAGGCCTGTGGGGGTGAGGTAGAGATGGCCCATATAGCTGAGCACCCCCGCCCCCATCACAGGTAATAGTGCAGCGCTGCCTGGCTGGAAAGAACTTGACTCACATCAAAGCTGGATGCATCTTGTGTGGCTACCTGAAGCTGATGCCCATGTTCCTTATGGTCATGCCAGGCATGATCAGCCGCATTCTTTACCCAGGTAATGTCTGCGTCACACCAGACTCAATAGTACTGTGCCCCAACCAGCACCCCTACCTTCTTGTGCAAGGACTCAAGTGCCCGTCTCTTATACTATCCTAAGACTTGGGAAGCTGGTATCTCAGTCCTGCATGCCACCAGGAACACCATCTCTAGGATCCCCAGTCCACACCAGGCTTCAGAGATCCTCCTTTCCCGATTAGTCTTTCCTAGCCACCCGTGGCTTCTTCCTTGCAGATGAAGTTGCATGTGTGGTACCTGAGGTGTGTAAGCAAGTGTGTGGCACTGAGGTGGGCTGCTCTAACATCGCCTACCCACAGCTTGTTGTGAAGCTCATGCCCAATGGTGAGAGCTGGCAGTGGGTTGCCTTTGGCCAAGCCTGCGGAGACTGCCTATGGGAGGAGGGTCACCTCTTGCCAATCCTTCACCACTTTGAACACACTAATGGCCTTGGCCTGACAGCTCTTGTTGGCCACAGGTCTGCGTGGACTCATGCTAGCAGTCATGCTGGCTGCCCTCATGTCCTCTCTAGCATCAATCTTTAACAGTAGTAGCACACTTTTCACTATGGATATCTACACCCGCCTGCGGCCTCGTGCAGGTGATAGGGAGCTGCTGATAGTTGGAAGGTATGGCCTGGGTCCCATCCCCTGCTCCATAAATGAACCTGGGGTGTGGGCACGGAACACCAGCAGGGTAATTGGGAAGGTGGGTCCTTGGTAAAATCCGATTGTCTCCAACCATAGGCTCTGGGTGGTCTTCATTGTGGCAGTATCAGTGGCTTGGCTCCCTGTGGTGCAGGCGGCACAGGGTGGGCAGCTCTTCGACTATATCCAGTCTATCTCCAGCTACCTGGCCCCTCCAGTGTCTGCCGTCTTTGTGCTAGCACTCTTTGTGCCCCGAGTTAACGAGAAGGTGAGGAGGGCATGCATGTCGTGGGAACTCTGGGTGAGGCTGGGGCATCTTGAGGAGGCTAACGCTGTTTCTCCTGCAGGGTGCTTTCTGGGGACTAGTCGGGGGCCTGCTGATGGGCCTAGCACGGCTCATACCTGAGTTCTTCTTTGGCTCGGGTAGCTGCGTGCGACCCTCAGCATGCCCAGCGCTCCTCTGCCGGGTCCACTACCTCTATTTTGCCATCGTGCTCTTCATCTGCTCTGGCCTCCTCACACTTGTGATCTCCCTGTGCACTGCACCCATCCCACAGAAGCATGTAAGTGCTGGCCTGCAGGGGGCTGGGAGACCAAACATGAACTGTCCGGGATGGAAGAACCATCTTCACCCTTTAGCCAGTTTGCTTCAAGGAATGAATGCCACAGAGAAAGACTCAAGATTTCATACCGAGGCTTGGTAGGAGAAGGCTGGGACTTCAGTATCAAGTTTTATTTCCAGGGCAAGCACATTTACTTAAGTGACATTTGGGGGAAGCAGAACAAATGACAATGGGAACACACTGTGACCAGAACTTTAAGACCAGTCTGCAGAACTACAACTCTGGGTGTAGACACAAAATTTGGGGCGAAACATGGAACTGGGCAGGACCACTGTCTTTACTACTCAGATGAAGAGCTTGAGGTGCAGTGTGAAGGCAAAGGCCAGCCTGGAAAGAGGAGTCTTGAGTGAGCTGAGCCTAGGCAAGTGTGCAGGCCAGGCCGGGGGCTAGGGAGGCAGTGATAAAGTTGGTATGCCAGGATGGACCTGGGCGGAGAGCAAAGCTCCACCGGTCCCTTCCCCCTGACTTCCCAGCTCCACCGCCTGGTTTTCAGTCTCCGGCACAGCAAGGAGGAACGAGAGGACCTAGATGCTGATGAGTTAGAAAGCCCAAACCCGGCCCCTGTGCAGAATGGGTACCAGGAACATGCAGTGGTGATTGAAGGTAAGGCCCGCCCCAGCAAGTGTCGTGGGGCTAGGAGAGCTGCCTCCCCTCACACTAACTGCATACACCCCACTTCTTCCAGAGGTCCAGCCCCCAGCACCCAGCCTGCTCCGCCAGTGCCTGCTCTGGTTCTGTGGAATGAGCCGGAGTGGGTCAGGGGGTCCTCCACCCACTAGTGAGGAGGTGGCTGCAACAACCAGGCGGCTAGAGGACATCAGTGAGGACCCTGGCTGGGCCCGTGTGGTCAACCTCAATGCTCTGCTCATGATGACCGTGGCTGTGTTCCTCTGGGGCTTTTATGCCTAAAGTCAAACATGTTCCGTACCATGAGCCTGAGCCTCAGAGAAAGTGAGGGTAGGGACCTTGTAGTGGGTCTCAGAAGAGGAAAAGGGGCACGAATGTGGTGGGAAGGAACTGGTTCCTTTCCTTTTTGCCTGGGGTCCAGTCTTTGATTGGTTGTCACTTCCCACAAGGTGGTGGCCAATTGGTCACGGCAGTTTGCCTATGCGAAAATAAAGTCACCCTTCTAATACCCTGTTGTGGCCGAAGCAGCCTTGCTCCAGGCTCCTGTCCTGGGTTCCAGGCTCCTGTCCTGGGCTCTGGGTCTCTAGCCAGGCTGCTCATAAGACCTTCTTTTCTGGAGACAGGTGCCATGTGGCCCTCCACTCATCCACTTCTAGATGGTGCTTCTCTGTCTTCCAGCCAGCAGCCTGCAGTCCTGTGGAGAGGTCACAGGGTGAGGCCAGGAAGGAAGCTCGGGGCTGAACCTGGGGACAGGTTACGGGAGCAGAAACACAGGCTGGTGCAGCCTTCTGCACTACTTGGGCTCTGTTGTTGGGATGATCTATGGCAGAAGATGAGGCTAAAATTTCATTTGCGTAGTTAGAGATCAGCTATAGCACATGGAAAGGGGTAGGATGAAGTAAGTGCTTTAAGAGCAACTTGGTTTATAGACTATCAGTATCAAGAGAGCTTCAGAGACCGTCCTGCACACCAATCCTGAAGGTAGGGAACAGAGACCGAGGCTGAAGATCCCAGGCAGGGCCTAAGGCTGAAGAAGCCCGGAGCTGGTGTTACCTTTCAAGAACTTTGGGAACAGTGTGTCCAACACCCGATGTGTCTCCCTGACGAGAATCCAGCTTTCTTTCTTAGGACCTGGTGGGTGTAAAATCAGAAATTCTCATATCCTCATCGAAACAGCCAGCCCATCCCTTCTCACATCTGCTGTAATCAGCACTAGACCATGAAGCTCTTACCAGCCCGAGCCTGCTCCCTCAGCTCCGCCAGCTCATTTGGAAGTGGTCCATCTTCCTGCAGGGCTCCAAGAACCAGCCCATGAGTGGCAGCCCTTAAGACAGCCTCAGGGCCTGCTACTTGGCTCAGAACAACCTGGACCTGGTCTGGAGAGAGACCCAAGGGACAGACAAAGATCAGACAAGAACTGTTTCTCAAAGCCGTCCACTCATCTTTCTGATTCACTCATCGGCCTGAGGCCACTGCCAGGCGTGGAAGTCCCACTCTTCCCTTCCCAATTCAACTTGAGTTGCCTCTTCAGCCAAACTCAAATGCTCAATTTCCAAGGATAATTTCACAGTAGCTCCAGGAGGAAATTTCTTTCACCAGTGACAGTTAACACCCTTAACACACCACAAACAATCAGCGATCCTAAGGACTGGTTTCCCTAAAAAGGACCCAGGGTAAGAGACAAAGTGATCTCCAGAGAAGCCAATGGGCCACAGTCTTATTTGAATATGTTACAATGCACAAAGTACTATTTACATAATCACCCCATTCAATCCTTAGAAAAATGCCACAAGTAATAAGGCAACTTGTGGGGTTGGGGATTTAGATCAGTGGTAGAGTGCTTGCCTAGCAAGCGTAAGGCCCTGGGTTTGATCCTCAGCTCAAAAAAAAAAAAAAAAAGCAACTTGTGTAGCTTCATGTTATAGACCAGTGGTTCTCAACCTTCCAATGCTGCAGCTTTTTAATACAGTTCCTCATGTTGTGGTAAGCCCCAACTGTAAAATTATTTTCATTGCTACTTCATAACTGTAATTTTTCTAGTTATGAATTGTAATATAAATATCTGATATGTGACCCCTGTGAAAGGGTCATTCGACCCCCAAAGGGGTTGTAACTCACAGGTTGAGAATTACTGTTATAGAGAGATACAGTGAATTCATTAGGCATGAAGCTATTAATTTGAATGCGTCAACATTTTAGTCTAGAGCACTCTCTAGGGCACTAGGCAGACTCCCAACTGTCCAGAGTGAAGGCCTGGAGTCAGGGGAGTCAGTGAACTGGGAGGAGGTGGCACACTCACTTCGTGACTGGTTCCAGCAGAGGAGGTATGGTTCCTGATGCCCTTCGACCAGCTGCTTCAGCTCAAAGACACTGATGGAGAGAAGAGCGCACTGGGGCAGGGAGAGCTGGGCAGAGGACCCGCTCGGTCACACTGCGGCTGTAACTGTCCGTTTGCCACTGACCTTCTGCCACTGCCCATTTCTTCCTAGCTATTACTTTACCCCACTCCCACACCTTCTCCGTCCTCTATACGGCCCTCCATCTTCCTGTGCACCACCCTTCCTTCATCTAGAAGCATCTCTTTTGCTGAAATCATTATTTAGTTTTGCATATGCACACCATGCATACTGATCACTGAAACTCCCCCATACCTCCCACCCCTCCCCATCTTCCTTCTCCCCACAAATCTCCCTCTCATGTTTGCTGTCTATTTATTTTGTTTTGTGGCCCACTAAGAGTAAACCATGGCCTTCTTTATGACCGGGAACCTGGAGCTATAGTTAAAGCCTGGTGGGCTCAGCAGTGGATACACGACTAAAGACAGTGATTTTCCCTTCTCACAGAATCCGTTAATAGTGAACAGTCCTCTTCCCTGGCTGGCTGGTAGGGCCAGCCTTGTGTGGGTTTAGTGCAGCTGACTTCAGCTGTGAGTTAATGACTGCACTGGTTGTACTGTGTGGTGCTTAGTTTTTGGCAACTTGACACAACCTAGAGTCACCAGAAAGAAGGGATTTGTCTGTGAGATACTGTCTTGATTGATGATTGATTTGGAAAGGACCAGTCCACTATGGGTGACACTATCCTTATGCAGGCAGGCAGGGTTGCGTAAAAAAGCTAGCTGAGCATGAGTGAGCTAGTAAACATCATGGCTTCTGTCTTAGTCCTGCCCTGACTTCCCTCAATGATTGATTGTGACCTGGAAATTCAAGCCAAACAAACCCTTTCCTCCCCAAGTTGCTTTTGGTCATGGTGTTTATGATAGCAAAAAAGTACACCAGATCATACCAAGTGTAGAAAATGGTATTTCAGAGCTCTTTATCTTATTTTCCAGATCTTACATACTTCCTGCCCCTTATTCCACAATTTTCCATGAGCCTTAGAGGGGCTGGTGTAAGCGACTGGTAAGGAAGGTCTACATCCTCCATTTATTCTGTGCACCTTGGGTGGCCATGAGTTTCTGCATTCACCACTATCCATAGGAGAGGCTGAGGGCTGCTTTTGTCTGTGGGTATATACAGAGGTGTTTAGAGGGCAGTTTGCTGCTAAGACACATCTACTCTGTTCTAGTCACTGCTTCCCTCAAGCACTCGGGCTGATCTCTAAGCCTGTACAATGACAATAAGAAACCTAGAATAGGCTATACAGTAAAACCTGACCAAACATCAGTGTGTAGCTGAAAACAGGCATATGTGGGACATGTGGGAAGAAGCAGTGAGGCAGGGGACACTGGGCCACTCACCTGGAGACCAAGTGGTGTAAGGGAACACCCAGGGACAGAGACAGGGATGGCCAGAAACCTGTAGGAAGCTGTAGTCAGAATGCTCAGGCAGAGGGGGAAGGCTGGGAGACAGGGGACATGAGACCAAAGGGTTGGGTCACCTGTCCACAATGGTTCCATCCGATTGGCTGAAGCAGGCTCAAGTACTTGTCCCGTCTGAAGGAAGTGCTTTAGGACCAGCTGGAGCCGGCTTTCATTCAAGGTCTCCAGGACCAGGGCTCGGACTGCTCGGTAGTTGGCATAGATGTGGAGCGCAGTCAGGAGGATGAAACATCCAAGGCTGAGGCTGGGGCAACAGAGTCAGGTAGCTAACATACACAGGAAGAGGCTGAGCTGGGCGTCTTTGCCCCGGCCTCACTCCTGGCTTACCTGGGGCAACTGGACACCAGAGGAAGCATCAGAAGGCTGACCAGGAGCCCTCCTAGGTTCACCACTGTCTCCTGAAAAACAGCAGAGAAAGTGAGCACTAGAGGGCTTCCCTTCAGGCAGAGGGACCAACCAGGGCTCCCTCCCTTAGTGGGAGTGCCAACTACATTTTTAATGTTTTGGGGAGTGAGCCGCTGTTTAAAAGATGCTGGGAATTTCTCTGCTCAATAGACACAGCGTCCTCAGAACACCCGTGGGACATAACTTTGTTACTTCCAAGAGTCATCTGAATTCCTGCACTGGGCACTCTTGGCTGTGTACAACTGGTTTTCGAGTGTGTTGGGAAAGGTGGATCCCTCTGATTGCTTGGTATCCAATACTGGCCACAAGGAAGCCCAGGAAGACAGGAACAGGCCTTGACCTTGGCTTGTGGGCCAAGGAAACCAGAGCCCTAATAGCCGGATGAAGACATCCTGGGGGAAAGAGCCCTGCTGCCTGCCCCAGGGCATTCTTCAAGAGTATGAACTGGGGTGCCTAACTACTGGGGTTCTGGGAAAAGCTGGTCTTGGCACACAGGGGCTCCCCGAGGCTCAAGAGCTCTTTTTGCTCCCAGCTTTCCTTGCAAGGAGGTAGGCCAAGGGAATGAAGGCTGCGTATGAAGTGTTAAGCCAGGGATGGAGGGCTGAGGAGCTTGGGAACAGAAAGGCCCTGCTTTGGTAGGTAGACAAAGTCAGTGCCAGCAGCCGCGTGAAGTGCAACAACACTATGTGAGCACGTGAACGCAGGCACCCGGAGAAGCTACCTCAAGACAAACGTGAAAGGAGCCAGGTTCAGAGGAAGACTCCTGCCTTTCTTTACCTTGGCGTCATCCGACAACAGCATTCTCCAAACAGTCAGAGAAATATGAAGGTGGTGGGGTGGGGGTGGGGTGCACGTTCACGAAAGAACACACAGCTTGGCTGGGTGCCTTGTGAACTCTTTCCTCAGCTCCACAGCCCACTTCCATTCTTGGTAGACTTTTACCCCTTTTAAACGATCTATTTCTATTCCAGGTCTAACTTACAAGTTGTGATGTTTTTCTCCATCTTCCCTCCTGGAGACTGCTGGGATTTTTCACTTAACTTGTACTGTTTTTCTCTTAAGGTCTAATAAGATCATTCTTGAGCTTCCTTCTCAATCTGTTTCTAAACTTTCATTACTGAGACTTAGAACCCTCACAGGGAACATTAGTTTCCCCTGTAAAATGTGGTAACCCGGAAGGGATTCCAAGGGGGCTCCTCAAAGATTCAGCTCCCTGTTGTCCAGATTCCCTTCGAAGCACTCAGTCCAGGCCTTATCTTCTGTTCTGCCTCAGGTCTGAAGGCTTGGCGCCCAGATCCCGGGTGCCCACAAACCTGGCTGATTTCTGTGAGGGCTGGAGCTGTGACGGCAAAGCCCTATATGAGGGTCCAGAGCCCAAGTGAGGGTAACGATGGCGGAGCCCCCGCTCCCTAGTGGGCCTGCCTTTCTGAGGTGGGTGATGGGGCTGCAGGGTATGTGAAGGCAGCAGTGACAGCCAAGAGGCACACCCACCCAGGGTCCCCAGTGACCCTGGTAATGCACTCTGCCAGCGTTCATTTGCACACCCCAGTCTTCTCTACATCCCTTTTGTCCCTCTCACTCTTTAATCTTAGACCCCCCACAAGAGAAGCAGCTCTGGGCACAGAGGCTGCTATGAGCTGTGTACCTGACCCCAAGGGTTCAGGCAGGCGGGGCCCAGGCAAGATGGAAGCACCACAAAAAAGTGCTGAGGCTTGAAATCAGGATCAACTCTTTTAATAACTTTATTTAAACAAAATGCTGTGTATTCCTGATAATTCTAGTGATGTCTCTTTTGCTTTATAAGATCTACAAAATCAGACTGTGACCATGCCAAATACCTCCCTCTCATTGGTAAACAGATTTAGAATTGGATTGCTAGATTTTTGTGGCCCAAATGGGTTATTTATTTTTTTTTTTTAAATGTCCTTCTTTCTATATGTCCTACTTTCCTGCTTCCTTCATGTCTGGCTGACTGGCCCCTGGCATCTCTTTTTCTTTCTCCCTCAAGCCTAAATTCCTCCTCCTCCTTATTCTCCCTGTCCAAAGTCCCACCTATACCTCCTCCCTCGCTATTGGCCACTCAGCTTTTTTTTAAAAATTTATTTTTATTTTTTTTATGTGTGTTGGTGTTTTTCCTGAATGTATGTCTGTGTGAGAGTGTGGGATTCCCTGGAACAGGAGTTAGACAGTTGTGAGTTGCCATGCGGTTGCTGGGAATTGAACCCGGGTCCTCTGGAAGAGCAGTCAGTGCTCTTAACCGCTGAGCCATCTCTCCAGCCCCAGGTTATGTTTATTATAATCTTTTTTGTTTTGTTTTGGTTTTTCGGGACAGGGTTTTTTTGTGTAACCCTGACTTTCCTGGAACTCTCTCTGTAGGTCAGGCTGGCCTCAAACTCACAGAGATCCTCTTGCCTCTGCCTCCCAAGTGCTGAGATTAAAGGCGTGCCTTTACTGCCCAGCTATTATAATCTTAATAGTGATAGAGACATTGTATATTGTCTAACTTTATGTCCTGATTATAGTCAATTCACACCCAAATGGTCCTGTGAAATTCTTAGCTCCATCTACCTGGGTCCCTCTGATCACCCTCCAAGGCCTGAAGTTAACAGGAGTGGGAATCCCAAACTCCCCATATCCTGCATTATGCAATGCCTGTTCTCCCTGATTTCTCTTCCTTTATTCTCCACCCCTCGGTCTCTACCCAGGCACTCCTTTATTAAGAAGGGGTTAATGTCTCCCGGGTGTCCCCACCATCATATGATAAAGCGAATGCTAACGCCACTCCTTGCAGGATCTTACTGCTTACAGCTTTGAACTTTGGCACCTACCGGTGCCTCCCAGCTTACATTTCTTTTCTCTACAGGGACAATTCTTAATGGGACAAGGGCTTACAGTCTGGAGTTCTATCTCAATGGACTCAAGGACTAAGGAGTGGCACTAGGAAAGATAAACTCTAGAACTGAGTGGTGTATTTGGTGACTTGTGGTCCTGATCCCATGTTGTCAGGAAACCTAGGTCTCTGTAGCTAAGAGAACTCTGGATTTCTGATTCACCTCAGTAACAGGTGTCTTCTCCGTAACAGGAAAACAGTTATCTTCCAGTGAAATGATCTAGAGGTAAAACGCAAACAGAAAACCACACCCACTCTGCACTTTTAACCTGTACAGTGATTTTAAAAAGAAGAGTTTGAACCCACTTTTTTTTTTTGCTTTTCTCCATTTTTGTTTACTTTTTACAGCATCTTAGGAGACTGTGTTCAACCTCAGTACAGGAAGCACCTCAGAGATACTAGCAACATCTGCACCCAGTGGTTTAGGATGAAAGAGAGAGGAAGAAGTGTCCTGGGGAGGGGAGCACAACCCAGGGTTTTAATTCTTTTGGGGCTACACTTGGGGGCTTATCCTCAAGGATGTTTGGGTAGCTAAAGACATGAAGATTGGTCTTGGGTCCAGAGTGGTATCAGGGGACATTCTACTTTACTTCCAGGGCTCTAATGAGGCGGACACGCACAGGAGATACTTGATTTTGGTTTACACACATCTCTCTTTTGTTACAATGCACTGAGCAGCTGGGTTCCTTTATCTGCATTACTACACACACACATACCTCTCTCCAAACCTGCACTGGGCTTCCAGTATTCCCTGCCCCTGGTAACCATCAAATGTAGACAGTTTCTATTCAAATGTATCCACAGTGTATCCAGGTATAAAGAGTAGAAAGGCCAATCTGGCCTGCACTGGTTTGGGGTGCATGAGCAGTAAAGCTACCTTTTAGGGAGAATTCCCTATTTATCTTCTCAAGTCTACATAATTGAGTTTACATATGACTAAAATTGGAAGAAGCATTATGGGAAGGGGACATACATAGTAGAGAAACAATTATGTAACTGAACCTATTAATCAAAATATTGAACAACCCAAATTATGCCGGTTAGTAATCAGTTCCTCCTTTCCTTAGGCCCCATAAAAAAAAAAAGACACCAGGCTGTATCCCAGGGTCCTTGAGTATTTTCACTGTGGCCAGCTGTCAATCTTGACTGTGTATCCCATTTTAATCTGTATGACAGCTTAGTTCCAAATAAAGTTATCTTGCTTCTTGTGCACATCTCTGCGAGCTCTAATTTCCAATTCTTGGGCTAAGAAGCCAAGAACCTGAAAACACCCTGTCCAGTCCCCAACCACTGATGATAACACCAGTACTGCCTCTCACCTTACACTTGCTGCTATGACATGCTAGGACGAAGCCCTAAAATGCAGAGAAAAAGAGCCTAATATCTTACTGTAATCTCTGGCCTCAATACAAGCTGGTGAATGAAAAATCTGGCCAAAAGATAAATCTTAAACTTGAATGCCTTCCCATAGCTGGATTTATTTTGTACAAGTCAAGGGAAGTGATCTAAAGCCCCACTGGGCACACTATGAGGAAAGAAAGCTTCATATACTCCAATGTCTATAGCACGTCTTGGAGGTAGGGGAATGCCTGGACCCTCAGGAATAATCACTGTCCATGTTCCTTTTTAATCATACACCCTCAACAAAAGCCGGCCAGTGTCTCTGGAGACCCCCGCAGCGGTCGGCCTCATCTAAGGCTGCGTCTTACTGTGAGTCTCTGTTATCTGACAGTGACTTGGAGACCCCAGCTCCCTGCCCCACTTCAGAACAGCTGCCGCATTCGTCCTGCTGCCTGCCCAAGGGGACGCTCCTCACACCAGCTGATGCCCCTTTTTTCTTAAACTGCACAAAGACTATTCCTAACTTACAAGCTCAAATAACAATGTTATTCTACGATCTTTCAATAATACAGGACTCTCAGCAACCCCACCCCCAACTACTGGACCCTACCCTTTCCATGTTAAACAGCAATGACCTGAAAAACCCATCCCTGGGCTGGGCAGTGGTGCACACCTTTAATCCCAGCACTCGGGAGGCAAAAGCAGGCAGATCTCTGTGAATTCGAGGCCAGCCTGGTCTACAGAGTGAGTTCCAGGACAGCCAGGACTGCTTCACAGAGAAACCCTGTCTCAAAAAACAAAAAAACAAAAAAACAAAAAACAAAAAACAAACAAAACAAAACAAAAAACCCATCCCTGACTCAACCTTCTTATAGATGCAAGGTTCTAGGCACACAGAGGGCAGCCTAACAGATTCACCAAGCACTAATCTTGCTCCCTCTAAAGCTATAGAAGGGAACTTCTGAACACCTGATTGTAATTGTGTCATGTGTTTACAAGTGATTAGCAGTATGATAGTCTATGTTGGGACAATTTGGGATGGAACTCACTCTGTCCCTAGAATTCGAGTAACAGGGACCACTTAGATTTTTTTCTTTCATCCATTTTCTTCTGTGTACTTAAAATAATTGTATGCGTATTATATATATATGTAAAACACATATATACATATATATATATAAACATAAATGTTATCATTAAAAATTTTGCAAATAAATAAAAATCTCATGCTGGAAATTTAAATTTATTTTTAGTCTTGGCATACCTTAAACTGTGTTTTAGCATATATTAAAAGGCCTTATATGTGTGTATTTATAAATTAAGACTCTCATTGCTTTCTTAAAACCCGTTAAAATGGTATCTTTGGGTCTATAAGTTACTTCCTAAAATCTTAAAATGCTATTTGTTTATATAAAACAAACAATTCCCAATCTAGGTTAGCTTGCTCAGGATATAACCAAGATGACTATATTTTTAGGTCCAAAGGCATTAATAATGAATACCTTACATTTCTACAGCTAAGTTTTACCTTAGAACTATACATTATAAAGCAAGAACTGTTGCCGGCCCCCCTCTGCACTCCTTCCTCTACAGACAGAGCTTTCTAGGTTCTTATCTTGTCCAATTTAAAGAAAGTCACATAAGCCTGTTCAAAGCCTTACCAATAGTCAGGTCACACTCTGATTTTAAGATCCACGATCTCTGACTTTATATTAAAGTCACGTCTGTAAAAACTTATTTTGGATTAAGAATTGCTAGTTCTATCGTAATGTGATCTAATCAACAGTTGAACCTAAGACTGATGAGTACAGAATCTGGTATTATCTTTACAAACAACTGTGTTCACATATGCTTGTATTTTTATAGTTTACACAGAACCAAACTGTTTTATAAGTAAATGGTCATATTAATTAAAACTACTAAATTTAGTCAAAATTCTTTTTTTTTTTTTTGGTTTTTCGAGACAGGGTTTCTCTGTGTAGCTTTGCGCCTTTCCTGGAACTCACTTGGTAGTCCAGGCTGGCCTCGAACTCACAGAGATCCGCCTGGCTCTGCCTCCCGAGTGCTGGGATTAAAGGCGTGCGCCACCACCGCCCGGCTCAAAATTCTTTTTGATTCATATTATAACTAAAGTTTAAAATGAAAAAGGAGTCACACAGTTTTAGCCAAACGCTAGCTTGTTAATTGTTCAGTGCTGACCTGGAAGGGGTCTAAAACATCCTCTGCTTGGGAAATAAACTGGCTTTTAGGACGTGATGAGTTCCACTCCAAGCCTTACTCCGGGACAACCATCTCGTCAGAAAGTGACTCTCCAGACTCTGCTACTCTTAAAATCTAAAAACTGGGACAATGATTTAGCCCTGGGCCTTTAGCTTTTCTCAAGCAATTACTATACTGAAAAAGAAAGGTTATGTTTTATCAAAGTAATTGCTTATGGTTTCTACTGAATGTGCCAGGCCTCTAACCGAAGAACAGACTCTAAGTTGGGTTCATTAAAACAAAATCTGTCCTTGTTAACCCTCTCTGGTGCACCCACCAATGTATTCTAAACCTGCCTTGATTTGTGTCTTTCTTTGTTCTGTGAAAATATAAAACCTCAGGAAATTGCTTCCATATTGAAATATGGAATTCGGAGCAACCTAATTCTGTGTTCCTGGTCAATGGTTACTTAAAGTGGCTCCAGAATGAACTCTCTTATTTCCTTTAAGATGACAGCTGTGGTTTTTGTGTTGACAGTTGCTGCCCTTCCTTACCCTGGTGTCATCTAACAAAGTCTACGTGAAACAAAGCCTGCAAAGCACAAACGGGAGGCGGCTATAAAGACCACAGACTGCCTGGCTGGATGCTCTCTGGAGTCTTTCCTTCGCTTGCTAGTCACTTCCATTCTCGGGAGTGCTTCTTCCTTTAATAAGCTGTTTCTAGTTCACGCCTAACTTCAAGGGCATTAACCTTTTCTCCAGCCCTCCTCCAGGAGGCTGCTGGGATTTCCACTTAACCTCTGCTATGTATTTCTCTTAAACTAATTATTTCTGAGCTTCCTTCCGAGTGTTAGGTCTCAGGCAGTCTACATGTCCAGACATGCGCACAAGCTGGACTATGGAAGGATTTCTGGTATTGAGATAAAAGGCATCATGCCTCAGGAACCCATGAAACAGGTTTTCTGTCCCCAGAAGGAGGCATTTCCCTAGCCTCAGGCAGAAGGGACCTCTGGCTCTCCACCGACATGCACCTGTGGGTTTCATGTCAAGTCCATGCTGACCTGCAGCTCCTGGTCCTTCTCACAGGTACCTGTTACCCATTTCAAAGCCCCGCACAGCATCCTGCCCTTAATTTACACCCTGTCTTCCACTGCTGCTAGTCTCACTGCCCCTCTCTTGCTATCTTACTGGTCCCCTCTCTTGCTATCTTACTAGTCTCCATCTCTTGCTATCTTACTAGTCTCCATCTCTTGCTATCTTACTAGTCTCCATCTCTTGCTATCTTACTGGTCTCCATCTCTTGCTATCTTACTGGTCTCCATCTCTTGCTATCTTACTGGTCTCCATCTCTTGCTATCTTACTGGTCTCCATCTCTTGCTATCTTACTGGTCTCCATCTCTTGCTATCTTACTAGTCTCCATCTCTTGCTATCTTACTAGTCCCCTCTCTTGCTATCTTACTGGTCTCCATCTCTTGCTATCTTACTGGTCTCCATCTCTTGCTATCTTACTAGTCTCCATCTCTTGCTATCTTACTGGTCTCCATCTCTTGCTATCTTACTAGTCTCCATCTCTTGCTATCTTACTGGTCTCCATCTCTTGCTATCTTACTGGTCTCTATCTCTTGCTATCTTACTGGTCTCCATCTCTTGCTATCTTACTGGTCTCCATCTCTTGCTATCTTACTGGTCTCCATCTCATGCTATCTTACTAGTCTCCATCTCTTGCTATCTTACTAGTCCCCTCTCTTGCTATCTTACTGGTCTCCATCTCTTGCTATCTTACTGGTCTCCATCTCTTGCTATCTTACTAGTCTCCATCTCTTGCTATCTTACTGGTCTCCATCTCTTGCTATCTTACTAGTCTCCATCTCTTGCTATCTTACTGGTCTCCATCTCTTGCTATCTTACTGGTCTCCATCTCTTGCTATCTTCCTAGTCTCCATCTCTTGCTATCTTACTGGTCTCCATCTCTTGCTATCTCCACTATTCTTTCCCGATCTCTTGCCTCTCTTGCAGATAGCCCTGGCCATGTCCAGTCTTCTTCTTTTCTCTCTGTTACAGATTCTTCCAGATGTCTCTGGATATTTTCTCTCTTATCTACAATAAAAACCTAGTAATAAAAAAGAATATGAACCCTAATAATAAAGTGACCATTTTAGTGGTTTCTTCACTGCTCCTATCACATACACTGAATCTGCTTCTAAATTATTTTATTAATGAGACTAAGCACCCCCCAAAGGGAACCTCACTTTCCCTGGAAACAAGTAGAAAGGGGGGAGGGGCAGCAATGGGACTGAGCACGTGGTCTACAGTGCCCTGGTGATGCATTTCTGCCTCGCTGAGGTTGGGGGCTGAGGCAGGCCGGGAGCCAGGGAGAACTAGCCTGAGAAGCTGGGAGATGCTGGGCGAAGGGCCTGGCCTTCACTTCATCAGTCCAACCATTTCCCGGGAGGAGGGACTGGCCCACGGGTATCTGGGTGGACTTGGGACTTTCTGAGCTTTAGTTCCTTATTTGTGAAATGGTCACGACGGGCACAACACCACTGTAAAGTCTGGACTGAGTCCATGGAGGGGACACACTCGACATGCAATGGGTGCTTTACAAATATTAGTTAAGGGCTGCTGTGCAAAACAACGTGAGGTAAGGACTGCATAGAACAGGTTTCTAAACTGATTCAACAACTACAACAAGGAACAAACAAATCAACAACAACAACCCTTCACATTTCTGGGGCCTGCCCAAGTCTTACATTCCCCATCTGTGAAACAAGGATCCAACAGTATTGACTTACAGCGTAGGTGTGAGTTAAATGAAAAAACCCACAGAGCACTTAGCACAGAGGTTTGGAGCAAAACCCAGTACCTTTGGGGTTCAGTCTCAGGGCTGTCCCTCTTAGTCCCACTCTGCTCCAGGCTCCCACAGTCAGGGGGAAGGGTGCTGGGCCAGAAGGACCTTCCAAACTCCTAAGTGGAGGCCTCTGGCTGGTGACTCTAACAACCTCACATGCTGAGTACAACTTAACTTGCCAACCACATCACTACATCCAGCTCCCAGGGTGGAGCTGCGGCCTACAGAGGCAAACAGGCAGTGAGCAGGGCCTGCATCAGCTTGAATTCATCTCCAAAACTGGGATGTCAGATCTGCCCCACAGCCTGAGTCACAGCAGGGCACTGAGGTTCCCTACTCACCTCCCTCCCGGGGGCACTCACGGGCCTTTCTCCACACTTCCAAACTGTGGCCTGTCCTGGCCCCTTCCCTACCTCATGCTGTCTCCCCAGTGCTCAATGCTCACCTGGCTGCTGTCCTTGGCTGACACATCAGCCATGTTGTTTCTTCGGGCCTGGTGCATGGTCAGTGCAGCTCGAGTGGCCCCGCCAGCCACACCCACAATGCACTGGGTGGGATAAGAGAAGAGTGAAGGTCAGAGCCGCCATGGGCCATAGAAACAGATCCTTCTGTGGATGAGCACATAAATAACTCAAACCAACCAGAGAATGGCTGGTCTCTGGTGACCCCTCCCCTCCAGCAAACATGGAATCTAGTCCTTGGCTTTTAGCTCTGACTCTCATGTCTTTAGGCACATGCTCCCTATCTTGTTCCATGAGAAAAATGAAAGGCTTACCTGCCACTATCACCCTGTGGCCCTGACTGTAGGGAATTCCAACTTTCTTTCTGAAGTTTTTGCACCCCAATAAGCCTCTCCACCGACACAGCAATCCAAATCAGACCAAATCAGACCAAATAAGAAAAAGCCCCAGTTTAATGGGTAAAGCATTCCCGGGTGACTCTTCCACTCCCACCCTCCAAGGGGAGACAGGGACGAGAGACCGAAAAACCATGTGTCTGGTTTTCTGGGGTGCAGTTTAAATACACTGTGGGGGTGGTCTTGAGCATCTCTGGGGGAGGAGCCGTGTTTGGCAGGACTTTCTGAGAGGCAGGGTCTGGGCGGAGAGGTGGGGCTCCCACCAGAACATTTTCCTACCCAAAGATTTATTTGCCCTTTGAGTCAGGGTCTTGCTCTATAGCCTAGGCTGTCCTAGAACTTGCATTAATCCTACCCCAGACTCCAACGTGCTAGAATCACAGGTGTGTGCTTCCACAGAGATCTTTTTTAAGACATACCTCCCATCTCCGTTTCTTACTCTGGCTGCAACCTTTCTCTGACTGAACAATGAGGACCAGTCTGGTCTCCGTTCTACCTACATGTAAGACCTTTCTTCTCCCTGCCCCCGTTTAGGCCCATTTAGCCTTTCAGGCCAATCCAAGCTTACTCCAGCAGCCCTGGAGTACAGCACTTAGACCTCTCCTGAGATCTCTAGATAGAAAAGCCAATAATAGTCACTAGTTTGTTGACTTCTCATTAAGCCTCTTGTAGATAACAGACAGGATGATACGATACGCTAAAATACAGACACAGCTTTTTGATGAGACTCATGTATAGCTATAAAAGTGGAGGAACTAATTTGTTCCAAATCAAGAGAAAAATGGTACAAAATGAGGCTGGAATGACTGATAGGAAACAGTCTGGTCCAAGTAGAGCCTGGAAGTCTCTAAGGTCCCCAAAGAGCAACAGGTCAGATAAGTAACCAATTTGATTCCCTCCTTTACTATTTTTTAATTATTTATGTGTATGTGTGCATGTGTGTGATGGTGTACGCGTGGAGGTTGGGGAGAATTTGTAGGAGCCCCTGGTTTCCTTCCACCATGCTGGTCCCAGGGACTGAACTCAGGCTGGCAGGCTTGGGGCTGCCATCTTGCTGGCCCAATGACTTCCACTTTCAAAGGAGTACTGGACTTTGTTGAGGACTAAAGAAGGATTATAACACCTAGGAAAGAACTGCTTCTCAGCAGAGGTGCTGACCAGGAGACATGTGTGTGTGTGTGTGTGTGTGTGTGTGTGTGTGTGTGTGTGTGTGTGTGCGTGTGTGTGTGTGTGTGTGTGTGTGTGTGTGCATGTGTGTGTGTGTGTGTGTGTGTGTGTGTGTGTGTGTGTGTGTGTGTGTGTGAAGGGATGGAAGTAGGAGGAAGATTCCCGAGAACTGGCTGGAAGGTTTCAGTTGAGGAAGTGTGGGTAACAGCCACCTTCTGGCTGCTGTAGCTGTGGATGGAGTGCTGGTCCGAGACCGAAACTCTATGAAGAGTAAACTTAAGGGGAAAGACCACGCCTTGTTCTAGTACAGTATTTGACAGTCACACAGGCCTCGGAAGCAGTTTAGTGCCGAATTTGAGGACATTCCAGAAGCCACAACCCTTGGTCCACAGCTCCAGCAGTGTTACGCTCTGGAGTTTCCTACCTTGGTAACAAAAGCAGGGGTGAAGGATATGGTGTGCACAGCATTTACTGCTTGTCTTTAAACAAAAAGACTGCTTACCCCCAAATACCAAAAGTGCTCGCTTGGGTGTGGTGTTAACAGACCAGCCTTTGAGATGGGCCCAGAACTGAGTCGTGGAGCTTTACTGGGTCCTACATACCTGACCATAGTGGGATTTTCTCCTGACCTTACTAGACCTCTGTTTCCTCAACAGAAGGAGCTGTGAGGGCAAGGTGAACCCTATCACAGAAGGAAAGCTTGCATTTGCTTCAGTGGCCCTTCAGTCTGTCCATCAGAATCTGATGCTGTGTTGTGATTTGTGGATTGCTGTGTGTGTGATTTCTTGGCCCTAGACCAACCTCCCTTCATCATAAACCCCTCTCCTTCTGCAGGACTCAGCCACAGGCAGGGCCGTTCTACATCCCCAGACCATTTCCCATCTGGTATGCTCAGAACTGTGATTCCATAAATATTTGTGTAATTATGCATCATTTCCTTTAAAGATGGGAGAGTCTGTGGTCTGTGCCACTCATGCAGTAGGCACAGAAACATGCTTTACTGAAGAAAGGAAAGTAGCCAGGAAGCTAGCCCCCAGACACTGGTGTCAGACTACCTTCCAGCTCTCAGCTCAGGGCTCCAGTATGATGTGCAGTGGGTAGCTAGGTGTTCCAGCTTTGACCTTGAAACACTGCCCCTAGAGTGACAGCAGGTAACGGCCACACCTGCCTATGACCTGCCCCTGGGGCATGGCTGAGAGGGAGCCCCTTAAGACTCGAGGTGCATAAGTGTTTGGCCCTTCTGGATACCTTGTGGTCCTGGAAGCTGGATGGGACACCAAGCCAGAGTTCTCCGCTGGATGGTACCTCATCTCTCCCGGATCCTGTAACCAACCCCTATTGGCTGTAAGTTATCCCAGAAATAAACCTCTCTTGATTACCAGATAAATTATGTGGAATTGTTTCCTTAATTACAGTAATAATGGTGTTCCCAACATGGCCTTGCATTGGCTGGCATTGACTGTACAAGGACTGTCTAGTCAAAGGAGGATCAGAAAATTTGTCTGTGTCTGACTAGAAACACATGAACTTTGTCCCTTTTTCAGAAGTGCCTTCAGGACAGGGCCCAGGTAAGTCATACACAGCATCATTAAGGCTGATACCGCAGGTACAGAAGTACCCCAGAGGTGGTACCTTGGCTAGGTTGCTGGTACTGACAGTCATGGTGAAAAAGATTGGGTACATGGGAGCCATAATCTCCAGGAACATGGCTATATCGTTGAGGACATCAGCAAAGAGCCTAGGGGAAGGATCAGAGGTTAGAGGTCATAAAGAAGAAACTTCTATAATGGCAGACTCCCCCATCCTCTCTCCCCGTCTCCCTCTCTCCCATCCCTTCTCACCTCCACTGCTTTGCGTTACAGTCCAATTTGCTCCTGTTGGGGATTAGAGGTTGTGTCAAGTTAGAACAAAGGAGAATGCTGTGGGCTGTAAGGGAGTTGTCCTACATCATGGTGAGGTCTAAAGGGCTCAGGGAAGGAAATATACCTTCAACCAGAAGCTGTGGCCCTGTCACTGATAGTCACAGATCATCCAGCTGCTTTTCAGTATCCCAGAATCGGGCCAGGCCCTGCTGCAGCTCGATGAGAGCAGCTGGGGAAGCCTTGCAGCCCTTCCCAGCTCAGCCGCAGAGCAAGTTCAGGCCCTCTCCAGTGCTGGCTCCATCCCCCTTAGCAACAGACTGGGCCAAACTAAGTCACATGGTGTGCCACTTGCTTCTCCTCTGAAAAACCTATGAAAGTCACATCTGCCTGAAATAGGACCCTTAGCTGGGAGGACCCTCCGTGACTGCTGGGTATCTCCCCATTCCTGGCTCCAAGGCAAACATCCTGTTTACTGGCTGGTCTCTCATTCTCTGGGCAACCTTTGATGAGGCTATTCCTGGATCATTCTCCTTTTCTTCTTGCTTCTTCAAAGGTAACCAGGCCACAGTCCACACACCTGGGACTGCTTAACACCACATTTGGTATAACAGCAAGTTACAGATAGCAGCCCAGGTTCTCTTGGCTCACAAAACAATGGGTGGGTAGGAAGGAACACCAAGAGAACGGCTGGGCTCCAATATCCAGGCCTAGGATATTTTTGTTATACAACACGGTGGGCGGTGACCTCTTCTGTCTCCATTCTACAGTTATTCTCTGGCCCATGCATAAACACCTGAAGGCAATTTCTCTAAGATCCTTGTGTTAGGAGATGCTACAGTATAGTCCAGCCCAGAAATTGCATCATTAGCTCTGGATCTTAATCTAGAATCTCAGTGGGAGAGGGGTCCTAAGCAGCATATACTGCATGTGCCCAGGGAGTTTCTGAACACATGGGCACTCTTCCCACTTAACCAGCCTGATGCTATGGTAAGAGGAAAGGTCTCGGTCCCGCCACGGCAATTACAGAGTGAGTGGCTTGAGAAAAATAATTTCCCTCTTCTAGGTGTATTTCACATCTTGAAAAATGTCTTTGTCATCTTCTTTTCAATTTGGGGGGAATTGATCCAGGGCCTTACCCACGGCAGGGCAGATCTGAACTATATTCTGGACTTGCATCTCCAAAATGCTCAATCCTACCCAAAAAGCTTACGGAGACTGGAGATGATACAAAATGCAAGTGGGACACAAAATGTTAAGCACTTTGCATAGATTTTTTCATTGAACTCTCTCTAACAAGCACAGGCTTGTATTATTACCAATGCCACTGGGAAGCACTACCAGAGGCAGCTGACTGGGAAGAGAGACAAACTTACCCCTTCCACCAGGCAAAGATGATGCGGCCCAACATGCCAGTGGAATCTGGGGATGAGAAGAAGGCATCGTAAGGACAAGGGAGGAACTCAGGAGCTGCAGGACAGACAGACACTGGCGTTGAACTGGCTGATTCCCTTGCAGCCACATTGCCCTTGGGAAAACATCTGGTGACAAGCTCTAGACAGAGTTAATACTGAGGGGTGCGCTGAGGTCGGCAGTTTTTTGGTATGTACAGAAGGAGAACTATGTGCCCGTGTACAGCACAGACAGGAGATACTGTTTGTATCCTCATTAGACAGGCGCTCTGTAAGGTGAGCTGTATCCTCAGCCTGCAATGCGGTTAGTAACAGCAAAACACTAAAATGATGCAAATGTTTAAGGGCAAGGGGATTCACAAAGTCTTGGGAGATCTACTCAGTGGCATATTAGACAGTAAAAATGACACGAGCCAGCTATTCACAATAACACAGATAAATACTTAGTATCATAATCTTGTATGAAAGACTAATTCATAGAAACTACATACAGCACAACACGCTTCTCAGGAAGCCCTACATCTACAGTGTTGAGGAACACATTGCTATTTGGCACAACTACCCTAAATTTGTCTAGTCTGTAGCTGTTTCTATAACAAAATGGTAGAACTGAGTAGCTTTGCCGAAGGTAAAACTGTCTGAGCCACAGAAAACATCTGCTAATCCAGCCTGTCCCTCTGTGGACACAGCATCCATTAGCTCTATTGGGAGGACTCCAGGGAAGGAATGTTTTAGAATCGGACAGCTGGGAGGACTCCCAGGGTGGCACTGGGAAGGACACACTGAAGCGATGGAGGAGTCCATCTTGTTTGAGTTTGAGGACGTAGACTCTTAAGTGGAGAAGGCTGTGAGAAACCAAGCTGGGAGTCCCCGCCATATAGAACTGCAGGCAGAACCTCCCCTTTCTTTATTAATAAGCACGTTCAGCCCTTACAGAGCCTCCATGCTTGTGTGCCTTCTACTACACACACTGAACCCTGGACTTGAGGGATATGGGGGTCTACCATCCCTCACTACCACAATCTTTCAAAAGATACTATGTGCATAACACTTTCCTACCCAGTTAGCTCTAATTCTCCATTTCTATTGCCTGGTCCTGGAATAGCCATCAAAGCAACTTTATGGGTATTCTACTTTCTAAAACTCACTTGAACGTCTTCCCTTCAAGCACATTACATTATAAACAAAATTCTTACGTTTGAGATTTTTGTATTATACCAATTTTTAATTTTGAACATGGCAAGATTACTATTACTGATTCAGAGGGAGTCACCGGGACAGACTCCATTTCTTCCTTTTAGTTGCACACTTACATCACCAGGGCATATATCCAACTTGGGCCATTGACAGAAACGAGGGGAGGTCTGTGGATCAATAGAAGCAGTCTCTAGGGCTGGAGAGTGGCACTATGGGAAAATAATGACATAATGTCCTAGCTATTAGCTGAAAGTCAATATTGTCTACCAGAACAGGAAACTTAATTCTCATCTCCTCTTCTATGTTTTATAATTAGCAGGGTTGAAGATCTAGAACTTTCTCAGTCTAACTGATGAATTAGTAATCACCTGTCCACAAATTATCTGTGGATCTACTGTAAAATCCCTGCAAAAGAGTGGTGGTTAAGATTGGGACACACAGCTCGCAAACTGCCTTTGCCTGATGGGTTTCTGACCCCAACCCATTCCAGCGCCACTGCCACACCTGCAGGCCGACATCGAGATGTGTAGTGTGTGGCACCACCTTTCAGTTGTCCTGACCCCACCAACCCCCACAACATCTCCACACTTAAAGGTCCAGCTCCAATCCAGCAGCTCATTTGCCAGCTGTCCCTAGCCTAGCTTTGGTCTTGCAGTTCCTGGACCAGCTCAACCTAAGGCAGGCCATAATCTCACATCAGACATACAACCAAAGAAAGAAGTCCACATGTTCAGGTCACATCCTGAAAACACAGCAATACAAAAGGTCAACAGAGTACATCCTCACTCAAATCCAGCAGTCCTCCAGAAGTGTTCTCCAGTGAGAACTACATGAACCCGGGACACCAAATATAAAAGAACCACAAACTTTAGTAAAGAATTCAAGCAGCTTAAGAAAGACTCAAAGAACAGCTCAATCACCTAAAGAGGATAACAATAAATGCCTGAGTGATGTCCACGAAAACCCTAATGGAGAAAATTCAGTATCTGAAATATTAATTCAGTGAAGAGATATAAATATTGATGAGAACTCAAGCTGAAATTAAGATGGAATTGAAAAGCTCAGGAGGGAAGCCCTGTAAGTGTAATGGGTCAAGTAGAAAGTAGAATATCAAGATCCGAAGATAGAGGAATTAGACCACACAGACCACAAAGAATACAAAAAAATTAAAACCATACAAAAGGAATATGCAAGAACTGTGAGACACCATGAAAAGACCAGGTCTTTGAATTATAGGAACAAATATACAAGAACCCCAGGACAATGGCATAAACCAGATCTTCAACGAGGTCACAGAAGAAAAATTCCCTACTATAAGGAAAGACACAACCATACAGATACAAGGAGCACACAGAACACCGAACAGACAAGACTGGAGAAGAGACTCCCAGGACACACTGTATTAAAGCACTTAGTACACAGAACACCGAACAGACAAGACTGGAGAAGAGACTCCAGGACACACTGTATTAAAGCACTTAGTACACAGAAAAAAGGGTGGGTACTGAAAGCATCAAGAGAAAAACCCACGTCACTTATAAAGGAAAACCCATCAGTACAACAAATGGTTTCTCAACGGAAACTTAAGAAACGAGAAAAGCCTGGGGCAATGCACTTGACCTACTGCCAACCTAGACTCTTATACCCAGCAAAACTATCTACCATAGTTGAGGGTGAAGAAACAGGCTGAAATAACTCATGTAAACTAAACGAGACATACAGAGAATACTGGAAGCAATACTTTGGACTGAAGAGAGGAATCAGCATAGCTGAGACTATAAAAACAAAAACAAACGAAGTAACAATTACTGAAACACTGTTTATGACTAAGATCACAAACAGAAAAAACAAAGACATGGCAACAATCAACACATACCTTTTAATAATAACTTTAAATGTTAATAGTTTCAACTCTCCAATCAAAAGGCATAGGTTTAGCTGAACAGATTAAGAAACAAAATCCACCTGCCTGTTGTCTACAAGACACATCTCCTATCTTAAGAATGGGCAAAATCTTAGAGTGAAAGATTGGGAAAAGTATTCCAAATAGAAACAGAAGGAGCACTTCCAAACTCCTTCTAAGAAGCCAGTATCACTCCAATATCAAAACCAGTAAAGACACAACAAAAAAGGATAACTACATGATAATATCCTTCATGAACATAGATGAAAATCCTCCATAAAATACTTGTAAACAGAATATAGGTATATAACAAAAAGATCATCTACCATGATCAAGTTGGCTTTATCCTAGAGATGCAGGGATGGTTCAGCATATATCAGCCAATAAATACAAGGACTAACTCTCACAGTGTCTGGAAGAAGTATGTAAGACACCAACAGAGAAAAGTAATCAATAGTCCTACTCAGCTGCAATACCCACGAACCACAATGCCTAGAATGGCATGATATTCCTAAAGCTGCAATAGTGGTACTTATATTCTGGGGGTAACCAACCAATTGGACTTAAGTCCTGCTTAAAAATAGGAAACTCATGCCTGGCAATTTTTTAAATGACTTTTTAAAACTTCATGTGCATTGGTGTTGTGCCTGCATGTATGTCTGTATGAGGGTATCGGAATCCCTGGAACTGGAGTTGCAGATAATTGTGAGCTGCCATGGAGATGCTGGGAACTGAACCCAGGCAGGACCCCTGGAGTAGCAGCCAGTGCTCTTAACTGCTGAGCCATCTCTTCAGCCCCTATGCCTGGTATTGTAAACAGAGCCCAGTTCCCATGCCCAGTGAGGCCATAGACCCTTGAGAAGAACCCATTGATTCTACTTCCCTCAACCATGATAATTCCTAACTGCATTCTAAATACTTATTCTTATACCTATAGACAAGTAGTTCTCATCCCTCATCAAAAAAAAAAAAAACAAAAACAAAACAAAAAAAAACTTCTTTTTACAGCAGATGGAGATCATTATAGAAAACCACAGTTGGTCAAAATACAGAGAAGAGCTGACCATTGAGTACCCAGCCTCAATACATCTACAATACAACTCCTACATCTAAGGCTCAGGGAACATCTCAGAAGAGGAAGCAGGAAGAGTGTAAGAGCCAGAGGACCAGGATGTCTGCTGTGAGACTGTGCCTTCTTTGTATGACAGGGAAACTGAACTCATGAAATCTCATCAATATGGTTGCCTAAACAAGACCTGAGACATGGTGCCAGCTGACATGCCGGCATGGATGGGGGGAAGCTCACAAGGCTCCACCCTAGGTAAAGAGCCACAGGCAATTCACAGTCGCTGAGAGAGAGATCTATCTTCTCCAGGGATGTGCTCCCTGATAAATTATCCAATCCCAACATTAAATGAACTCAGTGTGTGTGTGTGTGTGTGTGTGTGTGTGTGTGTGTGTAACAATAATAATTAAAAAATAAGAGGCTGTGAATTTTAGAAGTGGGGGTTGGTGAAGCGAGAAGAGAGGGATAAATTATGTAAATACATAATTTATATGATAATTTCACATATGAAATTCTTATAAAAAATAAAAAAAGACACAAGAGTCACTTGGCCTGGGTCTGCTTGGAGTTTCTCTATCTGAAAAATGAATAATGTCATCGAGCTGGCTATAGCAGGCATTGAGAGACAAATTATATGTAAGAGGGCAAAATGCCTGGCCTATAGTAAGCTGTTGAAATACTAACTGCTAGTGATATGACTACTGTTGGTTACAACAATTAACATGGTTCCAGTAGAGTAAGTGTATTAATTGGGGTTCTACTGCTGTGATAAAACATATGGGCAGGAGCAGCTTGGGGAGGAGAGGGCCTGTTGGCCTATGTACCCTGGGTCACAGTGCACTGAAGGAAGTCAAGGCGGGAACTGAAGCAGAGCAGGGACCTGGAGACAGGAACCAAAGCAGAAGCCATGGAGGAGTGCTGCTTACTGGCTTGCTCTGCTTGCTTTCTAATACACCCCAAGGACAACCTGTGCAGGCATGGCACTGTGCAGTGGGCTAGGCCCTTCCACATCATTACGAAAGTTCCCACAGGCTCAGACCAATCTTAGGGAGGCATGTTCTCAACTGAGGGTCCCTTTTCTCAGATGACCTTAGCTAGTTTCAAATTGTCAACAAACAAAAACCACCAAGCAAAACTAACTCGCCAACCAATCAGGACAGTATGTGTCCGAAAATGATTACAACATACATTCCAAAGCAGGGTACAGGAGTACATGCTTACAATTCCAAGTGAAGACACGGGGGTTATCTTCAGTGATAGGTGGAGTTCTAGGCTAGCCTGGACTACAGAAGATCCTGTGTCAAAAACAAAGCAAGCAACCAAAATTCCAAGGGTACTTCTTATGTGGGGCATATAAACATCTCACCCTTGAGGGAAACAAGCTTCTCAAATCCTTTCTAACTAAGAGGGCTTCTTTTAACATGGGTAACAGGCTCTAACGTGCATATCCTTTCCTATCTTAAAACAGTCTCAGCTCTTCTTAAAACACTGTTAGACATATGCAACGTGTCGGTGATAAGAAAAGGATGCTTAGAAACGACACTAAAATACTGACCCAGACTTCACCTGCAGTCTTCAAACTTGGCTAACAGGAGAACAACGGAAAAGATAAAGCCAAGCACAGTGTGATACTGTGAAAAGGACCAAATCACCTACATTCAAATCCAGGCCCTTTAAGTCACCAGATGTGTGACCTTGGCACTTCTATCCCCAGGTATAAGGTGGGGAAACAGCAAGACCTGTCCTACAGCTGCTATGATGTCTAAGCAGCAAATGAAAGACTCGCATATAAAAACACGGCCAGCAGCTATTATTATTATTACTGCCATTATTAAAAGACAATGAGGACAAGAAAATAATCAGTCGCTTCTGCTTTACCATGCCCTCTCTAGAGGTGAGCCCTAGTTACGCAGTGTGCTCAGTTATAACAGCTGGGGCATAAACAGAAGCCTCCTCGTCTCCAAAGGGTCCAGGGAGGCTCACCAAAGACATGGCCAGGCCGCTGAAAGAAGAGGATGCGCTTGCCCCTAGGTTCATTTAAATACCCATTGTGTAGGATGTTCGGTTCCCGGGGGTCCGTGGAAGAAACAGGGTCACTCTAGGATGATTTTTGGCCTTTGCGGCCGCAGGGACTCAGCTTCTGGTGAACTGACTTTAGCTTTGCAAAAGGCTTTTTTATTGTTATACAATTTACACCTACGCAAGCCAATTTCTGCATACCCACGCCTCTTATCTGAAGCTCCCCAAAGAGACAAATTCCAAAGCAATCCCCAGTCACAGGACATCTGAGTTTTCTGAGTTCTCCCACAACCAAGTTGTGCATAGGCTGTGAACCTCTAGGAAACTCTCAGATAAGATTTACGTACTTCAAACAGAAGTTTGGTAGTGGACACAAAAGGCAGCATCACAAAAGGCAGATCAAAGCCCAGGTGCTAACACACTGGAATCAATCCAGCTGCAAAGCTCTTCAAGAACTCCCACTACAAATACCACTGGGAACAGCAGGCGGGAACAGAGGCCACAAGACTGAGCCACAGGCCCTCCTAAACGTGAAACAAGTGACGATTTCTCTTTTCTCTGCTTAACTCTCTAGGTGACATGGTGCTATCTTTTTTTTTCTTGGTGATTTTTCCGAAAAGCTGTACACTCCCAGCACGTGGTTACTATAATCATTATTTACAGCACTGTCTTCTACCCCAGAGGAGTCGGAATACATTTTAGCCTTACCAGTTTAGGACCAGCTACATGCCCCTTTCCCCACTTGAAGTTTCTGATTTTCACCATCCCGAGAAGCTGGCAGCTTTGTGTAATAAACCGCATTTTTATGCGACCCTGCATAAAGTAGGTGTAAAGTTAATTTAAGGATGAGGGACCCAGATGACTTAGAGATTCTGAAGTTTGCAAGGGTAACAAGTTGTGTCTTTTGGGCTGATTCACTGATGACCGTATTCCAGCAACGGGCAACGAGAATACTGTTCTAAGCATGGGGACACGAGGCTTCTGTGTACTGTCTCACCAGACAGCAGACCATCAATAAACACACACCAGAGCCACTGTTGGGGGTCAGAACACTGCGGAACCGCAGGACTAGGATTTGTAGTGGAGAAAAAGGAGGCCAGAGAGAGAAGGCGGGGTGGGAGTGTGTGTGTGAGACCAACAGGTAAGGCTCCCGGGGTCCAGCTCACCTTTCAGGAGCCAGGTGGACGTGGCAGCTGAAACAGAGGCTTTTGCGTCGCCTACCCCTAAGCCCTGCAATACTGCCTGGGTGGCTAGGGAGCCGGAGAGGCTGGAAGCAAAGGCCTGGAGAGAAAAGAAGTGGAGTGAGGAGTGGTCGCAGGAGCAGGCGGGCTACTGTATTCTACCAGCTCTCACTGGTGCTGTGTGACCTGGTAAACTGTCGGGACTCTGCGGGGCACTCCAGCCTTCCATGTGCAAATGCAGACTGCAGTGGCCCGTTCCCTTGGTCCCCAGCTATACCACCGCTCCCCTTCCCCGGCAGTCGGCCAGCCGGACCTGCACGGAATCCCACAGCTGATAGGACAGGTAGTCCGGGCTGACGCTATCTGGGAAGCCCTGAGGCAGAAGCACGGCTCTGAGCCCCGAAAGAACGGGCAGCGCTGCCCAGGGGCCCCCGCCTCCACCCGCGTCCTGCCCGGGTTTCGCTGTCGGGGCTCCGGAGAGCCAGCCCCACCGCCGAGCCCCGTCCCACTGCAGGCTCCCGTCGGCGGCAGCGTGGCAGCCGCGCGGGGCTCGGGAACCGAACTGTTCCGTGCACAGCTGCCCTCGCAAGCTCGCAGAGTCAGCCATCCCCGGGCTCAGCCGGTCTGTCCAAGTCCAACGCGGCAAAAAGCGAGACGAACTACATTTCCTGTTCGCCTACGGCGGCCGCAGAGGGACAATAATCCTCCTTTACTGTCCTGGAACTCAGACTGTTGTGAATTCCAATGGGAAAGATGCCTTCCTGGGGAAATAGTTGTGATCGAGACCCCATTCAGATCTCAAACTTTTAGCTGTGTAAGTCTGAAGTGTATCCCTCTCGGTCCCAGGTGCCTTTTTTTTTTTTTTTTTTTTTTTTTGCTGTGAGGGGCCAGGGACAAAATAGCTTTTGAAAATTTTAAAATTAGCTTGTGACTCGATGAGCTTCATTATCGCATTCCTATACATACTTTCTTTTATTGTTTATCCTTTACCACTTGCCTCCCTGGCCCCCTTGCCTGACTGCTATTGGATAGAAACCCACTCACCCACTCCCAATTTTGCTTTTATGTCACATGATTTTTGTCTTTTTTTTTTTTTTTTCTACTCTCCTTAAGATTCCTTCTTCCCTCCTCATGGTCCCATTTCTAACTGTGTGACCTCTACCTCCTCCCATACACACATGTAAAAGTTCAGATCTAGGAACTGCACATGAGAGAAAACATGAGGTATTTGTCTTTCTGAAACACTCTAAAGTGCATTTTCTGGCAGCTGTCATGATTTCACTTTTCTCTATGGCTGAATAAAATCACACTGTAATTCCACATTCTGTTACCCGTTTGTCTACTGACAGAGATCCGGGCCGATTCTGTTTCTCAGCTGTTGTGAAAGCTGCAGCGGTAAACACAGATGTACAAGTATTTCTGTGGTAGGACATAACTTCTTTGGTGCATACCTACGAGCAGTAGAGCTGGAATCGCGGGGTACTTCTGCTTTCTCTTTTGCTTTTCACAGCAGCTGCACCCGTTTACATTCTCACTAGCAGCATATAAGGGTTCTTTGCCAATATTTGTTGTTACTTTGTTACTGGGGAAACTGAGGTTCCCATGGGAACTTCTTAGTCTCTTTAATAAAAGAATTTGGAGGCTGAGCGATGGCTTAGTGGTTAAATGCCTGTAGTTCTTCCAGAAGATCAGTGGCATTTGTTTCTCTGCACTCACGACAGTTCACAAACCACCTAGAACTCCAACTCCAGGGATCAGACACCCTCTTCCTGGCCTCGACAGGCAAACACATGGCTGTGCACTTCACACACACACACACACACACACACACACACACACACACACACAGAGATAAGTAATAAAATCTTTTTAAGAAGAGAATTTAGAAATGGAATGAACAGGAATCTTGAGGACAGTTGTATCAGTTTCGGAGGGAAACATAGTACAGGTTGGGCAGAAATCCTGGCAATCACCAGGAGGAGTGATGGAGAAAAATCATGCCTTTTCAATTAGGCATGGAATAGAAGTAGTTAGCTTGCTAAGGAAGAATAAAGACTCCACCAAGAATGGAAGTGGGCTAGAACAGAGGAAAGAGCCCAAACACATCCAGCCAAGTGCTGTTTGGTCATTCAGAGCCGTCATGTAACGGCCTCCCTAAACAAGCAGGGTGATACAAACAGTCCCCCGACCATTGTCCATTCCTACCCCTCGAGAGTCTGACCTCCACAATGGTCTCGTTGGTCATTGTCCATTCTCACTCTGTGAAAGTGTTTTCCTCCACAACGGCTCTCTGGCCGCTGCCCACCCTCATCCTTATTATTATGCATTAAACGCTCTCTTCTACACTACACTCTGTATCTCACCAGAACTCAATAGGGAACACAAGGACGGGCACTGAGGGAAAAGCAGCAAGATCTAGTAACAATGTCATCTTCACAGGGGCTCTGTGTCCTTTGCTACATTAGTCTTGATTCAGACCATTTCTGCCCAACTCTGCATGCAGATATATTAATCATTAAGAACTATTTTGTCTCGAACAAGGTTGATTTGACTTAAACTTCCTTACTTCTCTTCCCTTCCAAGGCTGAAGACATCAAGATTAAGAGTAACTAAACCTACTAAGGCCACTGGAGTGGCGCCAGGAAATCACCCATCATCAAGGTTTTGTTTGAAGAATGCCCTCAGCTGTTAGCTCTTTCCTTGTCTGATGCTCTGCTTCCCTCTCTGTGAAGCTCTTCCACACACCAGACGATTTTTACTGGCGTTAACCTCTTCGTTTCCTTGGCTTTCCAAACAAGTTTTTTTTTTTCTTTGCCCGAGTACTTATCCCTGAGTCATTGGCTTTTTCAAGTAGCAAGTAGACATCTTGGTTCACTAACACCTTGAGAGGAGATTCTCTGTCCAACAGCTTTCCCCAAGTTAGAATTTATTTCTAAAAGGCCGGTCAGGATGCTAGCGGGTAAGAACATCAGGAGGTTGCAGGAACAGTGTCAGAAAGCAGCCTAAGCATGGGGAAGTTCTTGTGTGTTTCTTTCCATGGCGGGGGTGGGGGGGGGGTGGGGGTGGGGGCTGCGTGGAGTTAGGAGGATCGTCTCTTCCTCTAAACTCACCCCTTTTCTTTGTCCTCCTCCTTCCCACCTAGTTTAGGAAACTGGCCTTAAAGTAGGAATTTGCCAAAAGCATCTTCTTTTTTTTTTTTCTTTAAATAAATATCATTGTCCCCCTTCCCCACCCCCACCCCATTTGACCCTGGATAACAGCTCCATTCTGGAAACTTCTGATCCTCAAGGGCTGCTGGCTTCATCATGGACTGTGGCTAGGAGCACCCTTCCAACTCATGCCACGGTATCTGACCCCACACAGAGTCTGCCTAAGGTTGAGATAAACACTGGCACTTTTGTGAGCTTGAGTTTCCAGGAAGAATGAAAAATTCAAAGGTTACTGAACACTGTGTTGTTTTTTATGCTACCTTCTGTGAATGAACCAAACCCAAAGCCACTTTCTATGAATGAATTCACCCAAGGGCCTTACTTGGAATGCATGTTTGTAAATGTGAGATCTTGGGAAAGCTGCTTGTTTTTCTGGCATTCAGTTTCTCCACTTTAAAAATGAAAACAATACTAGTACACACCAGATAGGGTGAGGGTAAGGGCTAAACAGATTATATGTGTATGGGTCTAAGTCAGATTTGGCAAGTGGTACATACTATTTACATTTACTTATTTATTATTTATTCATTATTTATTTATTATTTGTGTGTGTGTGTGTGTGTGTGTGTGTGTGTGTGTGTGTGTAAGAGAGATGTGCATATACATCATGGTATGCATGTGGACATTAAAAGATAACTTGTGGGAGTCAGTTCTCTCCTTCCACCATGTGGGTACCAGGGATTGAACTCAGGCCATCAGGCTTGGCAGCAAGTACCAGTGAGCCATCTTGCCAGCCCAGTACATAACTATTTAGATGTTATGAATTATTTGGAGATAGTGGCAAGTATTCAAAGATTCCTTTGCTCCCCTGAGGCAAAGACATAATTTTCTTTATAGTTGAAAAAGCTCCATTATGTATATGTCCTACATTTTCTGAAGGAATTTTTATAATGATAAATACCTAATACATGCTTGAAAAAGTATCTGGCATAAAAGAATACATAATATGGCAAAAAAAAGTAGTATAAACTCCTCTTTTGAGAATAAGGTTTTGTTTGGACATAGCCTGGGACCTGCCTTCAACTTGACTCTCCTTCCTCTGCCTCCTGAATGTGGGCTTGTAGCCTGGCTTCTAAACTGCTCTGAACACAGAAGCTGTAGATGGAGGAACAAGAACATTGTGTATAATACAAAAGTACCCACTACGTAATGGGGTCCAGTAAATGTCAGGTTCCTTAGAATTTAGAGACTGGTTTGTTTGGGGTTGTAGGGAAAAGGGCAAGCGAATATGTCCCTGTTTTTTCTTGCATTTTCTGTCTTCATTTATCTATTTTTTTTCTTGGTCTCTCTATCTTTCTAACTCCAGGGAAGCCTCACCACCCACCTTCCCCGCCCCAGGATGACCTATCATGCTCCTTCAGGACCTCGATACAGGGCGTTTCCATCTTAAGCTAACCCTGGACTCTGCCTGCATCTAGCTTAGAGCAGAGGACACACCAACCCTGAAGAGTGCGAGGCAAGCTCAGAACCGTTGGACTTGAAGGTGAGCCTGTATGGGTAGAAATGTGACTTCCAACAGAGCAGGACTTGAAAGGTTTGGGAAAGGAGGGATGTTTAAGGGTGTGTGTGTGTGTGTGTGTGTGTGTGTGTGTGAGAGAGAGAGAGAGAGAGAGAGAGAGAGAGAGAGAGAGAGAGAGAATTGGGGGAATAGTCAGGTGTGAAGGAAAAGGATACATTTTTACCTCTTTCTTTACCTGACAGATGGCCCCTTTTCTAACCAATAAGGAGCTGATTTCTGCGGGAATAAAAGAATTTAATGTTCTGCTGAATCAGCAGGTAAGCCCGTACACTCTGTTTCAAAGGACAGAGATAGAGAGAGTGTGTGTTGGGAGGATAGAAAAGGTTCATTTTAAACTGTAAGGGCAATGGTGGCATTGTTCCAAATGTCTAGAAACAGGGAATGCAAATCCAGGAAAAGAGGGTGTGAGCATTTGTAAGACCATCCTGGCACTCCACATCGCTGACCACATTCTCCCTTGCCAATCCCTCCCTTCTGTCCCCACCCCACCCCCAGGTCTTTGATGACCCCCTTATCCCTGAAGAAAACATGGTGACTATGGTGGATGACTGGGTGAACTTGTACACCAACTATTACAAGAAGCAGATTCTTGGGGAGCAGCAGGAACAAGACAAAGCTCTTCAAGAACTCCAGCAAGAGCTGAGTACTTTGGGGAGCCAGTTTCTGACCAAATATAGGACCTTTCTGAAGTCCCGAGAACCCCCAAACAGCACACCGCCTTCCTCATAGCCTAAAGGCTCATGGTATCTCATCTAAGAACCCTGAAGTCTTGGCTCTGGGTTATGTCTTCAGACTGTTCTCTCATGGTGTTGCTGGACCTTGATATCTCAATAAAGACCAATACTAATCTGTTGACTCCTGGCTCTTTTTTCCGTCGTTCCTGGATGCGGGTGCATTTGATGACTTTTTCTTCATTAAGCACTTTTTAAACAATGATTTTAGAGGTTTGATTCAGTATAAAGAGGTTGGTGGCTTTAAGAAAACACTGAATAATGCTAGAGTAGGATGTAGATGTATGTTCAGCCAGTCAGGGACCAAAGAGAAAGTTCTGGGTAAGGAAGGTAACAGAAAAAAGAAAAGCAGACAGAAGTCTTCTATAAATGGTTGCTTCCCGACGTGCTTGTCTAGCAGAGCCTCTGGCTCATCTTTTGCCAGGTCATCTGCTTTGATATTTCCATCTCCCTCAGCTCCAGCTTGACAACATTTTAAGATCTTCTATTACAAAGCACCCCGGTGGACACTCAGAGGAGTGGCATGATCATTTACAGTTGGCTAGGATGTTGGGAACCATTCAGTGCATCCTTTATATATCAGGTGGGAAATCCTTACCTTGAGCTCCACCGTTACCCAGTATAGATCCCAGGCCCCGGAAGCAGTCAGCTTGCCAACTGCTTTAGCTGTCTCCTGTCACTCATGGACTAATGGCCCTTTTTTTTTTTTTCTTGGAGCTCCAGGCTTTTTACTTTAGGAAGTTCGGGTGAATGCAGAGCCAGGTTAGGAAAAAAAATGAAACAAAATTTTAAGACCACAGTTCAGTCTTCCGTGAAAGCTTGACAACACAATCAGGAAAGGCGGCCAGCTGAGAGGACTTTCATGTCATTTTTCATGGTTCCTTTCTAGTGGGAACATTTGGGAGGAAAAAGATACATCTGGGAAGCTCAATTTCTGAGAGAGAGAGAGAGAGAGAGAGAGAGAGAGAGAGAGAGAGAGAGAGAGAGAGAGAGAACACACGAGGGGCAGAGTTGGATCTGGTTCAGAGTAAGAGTGAACCAGCACAGTGTTCCAACATCCTTCCAACACACAGGGTGTTCCTGACTTAGCGGGGTGGCAGCTTCCCAGGGAAACAGGATGCATGCCCCTCTGAGGAGAGCTGGTTCTGAGCGTGGCTGGAGACTCATCCCTGGACTCCTCGGCAAATCTCAGGCTGTTAATGGGAATCTGGTGCCTTTGCTTCACACCTGGGTCAGGACCTGGAGTAGAGTATAGGTTAGGTACAGGAGTCACTGAGGAGCCAGATAACGAAGTTATTTTCTTTACAGTTACTGTGCACAGTGTACCTGCAAAGACTAGTCAGAAGGTATTGTAATGTATGAAGGCAATCTTTTTGTAAGCCTTGGGACGCTATTTAACTTTTCCTCAAGTGTTTGGACCAGGGAAGATGATAAATGAATAGGTATGTCTGGTAAGGTGAACAACTAAACACCAACCAGTCCTTAAACTATGAAATCGAGAAGGTACCTTTTAGTGATGTCCATGTTCTTACATTCCTATCCATATGTTTAGTCCTAAGTCTACCTAGAAGAAAATCTAGACTGCTTTGAGCTTCGTATTTAGAGGTGGTAGGATCTCTAATAATCCAAAACAATAAAATAAATAAAATAAAAAAATTTACTGAATCGGTGCGTACCTCAAATCCATGACTGAAGGAAAGTTAAGCAAACTTTAGCTGCAAAGATGACTCTGTGATAGAAGCTATTGAATCAACCCTAAAGAGACACTATAGGCAGGAGGTGAGATGAAGCCACAGTCCCATCTTATCTATACCCTAGAGTGAACCCTCACCAAGGCTGACTCTGAACCACGCCTTCTGCTCTGATAAGATTCCCCAGCTGGCTTTCACTCTGACCACGGCAGACACCTTCCCCTGACAACGTCTCTGCATGGCGCACAGACATTATATTCATCCCAATCCTGATGGTGAAGCAGCATTGACTAATGGCATGATTCTAACCCGGAATCTGACTCTCTCTCTCTCTCTTTCTCTTTCAAGAGAGTTTCATAAATTTTTTTTTTACTTGAAAAAAAGTTGTAGAAAACATTACACTTCTAGTCAAATTTCCCCATGGGGTTCATGCAGCTTCCTGCCTTAAAGGTTATGGTATGACACTCAAATGAAGGGTTTTTCAAAGAGCCACGTAGCTTCGAAACCTACAAGAGACAGAGATGTTTTTCAAGTGCTTTTAAGGCGTGAAAGCAAGTAACATAATTGTGGAATTGTTGACTCTATTTGAAAATGGCAGACATGGTAAACATGTCACAGCTGGTGCAAGACTGCCCGTGCTTGGTTGTCAACACAAGAACAAGGCAGAAGATGGCATTCTCTGAGAGGTAAGTCCAGATGCTGCCACTGTGTCCTAACACCAGTTCAGACAGTAGGCAATCAATGAATGCTCAGCCCACCATCAGAATACTCGAGTATTCGGATTTGCTTTGACTTTTAAAATGTCACCAGTAAAAGGTAAGAGAGCAGGTGCCAGACCAAGCAGGGCACCTCATTTCCAACCCCACGTGATGACCGTTGGCTGGATGCACCCAAAAACCCACCACCAGGCTGCAGAATGTGAAGCCCATCCTTCTCTGGTTCCTCTGTTGTAACCTAGCAGCCTTGAACTGCCAAACCCTCTGCAGTTTCTTCTGATGCTTCTGACGGAACATCCCTCTCTGGAATGGTCGGGACAGGCTGAGCAATGGCTGACTGGGGTGCTGGGGATGTTGATAAAAAATGCTTTTAAATGACAGTTGCAGAAAAAGCTTCCGACACCCTTGACAAGGGCGCAGGTTTCTTCAGATTTCCTTGGATTTCTTCTTCCACAATGCTGTCGCTGGCATCACTGCACGTGCCCTCCTCACAGCACCCCACACCCCCACCCCAGGAGCACCGCTGCCACTAAGTGTCCCTGCAGACACCGTGCTCTCTCCTTCAGAGACTTCAGGGGGGAGTTCCCAGAGACAAGAATTCCATGCACATGGACTAAGACTCTGTAAACGTCAGAGGAGCTAGGCAGCGTGCCTGCCCACTGCTCTTCCCTCCCTGGTTGGCTTCTGGTTTCTTTGCGATGCATTTGAAAGCGGTATTTTTCTGTATTTATTAAAATCATCTTAGAATCAACAGTATGAAAAACAAATGTATATATTCTCGGTACAGAATTACCTCCAGAAGCACCAAGGTCATTTTCATTATCACCATCATGACTGTTGTCTTCATTATTATGGAGGCAGCGAGGCGGCCCTGTGTCCCAGGGGGCCCTCAGGCCTGTCAGGCTCAGTTTGCTACCACCCCCTTCCTGGACTTCCTCCACCAGTCCTAGCTGAAAGGGGGTGGAGTCTGGGAGTGTCAGTCCAACAGGGAGGAGGCACTTTACATTTTTAATTAATTAATTGAACTTTATTTATTTTGTTGCCAATAAACAATTTAATTCCAGAAAACCGCAATTAAGTAAATGTCAGAATGGTAACAATGAGAAGGGAGGGGTCATAGCTGTATTGACTGGTCTCCTTTTCTCCACCCTGATCTTAGGCCTTCCATATACTTTTAATTGATTTATTTGATATTTTAAGAGATTAAAATATAGTTTCCCTGGGGACTTTGCACCCCTTGGTGCAGACCCAGGGTTCCCCTAGATGTTTCCCTCTGTCCTTTCTCTCTTCCCTTCTAGCCCATCTCCAGTGCCTTGTGTCACCTGCTGACCTGCAGAAACACCTTCTACCAGGGAACCCCAGTGTCCACACTGGGCTGGGACTCAGGTAGCAATTATCACTGTCATTCCTGTCCTCCATTCCAGTCTCTCCAGCCTTACTCTTAGTCCTGTAGAAGCTCCTCCCCCAACCTTGCCTCCATTTCCTGGAGATTCCTCATCTTGGTGCCAACCCAGAGACCCTCTAGCTCCTTCCCAATGCCTCTCCAAGCCTTTCCTCCTAGAGTAGCTCCGTTTCTTTGTGATATGGGCTCATCCACACTATTGGGACCCCACAGCCGTTACATTTGCTTAGGATCCAAAGCAGGCAACAGGAACCAAACAGAACACCCACCCATCAGAGAGGAGACCAGATATCTATACCAGAAGCACGAAACATCCTCACTCCAGATGCCTAGATCCCAGTGCAAAAACACAAACATGAACATCCAAGACAATACACCTCCTCCAGAAGCCAATGAGCCTATTGTAATAGGTCCTGAGGAAAGCAGTTTAGCTGAAGCACAAGATGAAACAGCAATCGTGGATATGTTCAAGGACCTTAAGGATGTCAAACAAAAACCTCAGAGGTACAAACAAAAAACAAAAACCCTGAGAGAATCTCGACTCTTAAAGATAAGGTAGAAGAGATGGATAGCTCAACCAAAGAAAATGTTAAATTAAAAAAAATCCAGGCACAAAACATTCAATAAATCAGGGATACCATGAAAGACCAAATCTATGAATACGAGGTATAAAGGAAGAAGAAACGCACAGAAAATATTTTAAACAAAATCATAGAAGAAAATTTCCCCTATCTAAAGAAAGAGATGTCTATTCAGGTACATAAAGCATATAACATATAGAACACCAAATAGGCTGGAACAGAAAAGAAATTCCCCATGACACAAAATAACCAAAACACTAAATATGCAGAACAAAGTAAGAATATTAAAAACTTCAAGAAAAAAAATACCAAGTCCTATATAAAGGCAGGCCCATTAGAATACTCCTGGCTTCTCAATGGAGACTATGAAAGCTGAAAGGGCCTGGATGGATGCTCCACAAGCTCTAAGAGACCACAGATGCCAGCCCAGACTACCACATCCAGCAAAATGATCTATCACTGTTGACTAAGAAATAAAAACATTCTATGATAAAACCAAATTTAAGCAATTTCCATCTACCAATCCAGATCTACAGAAGGCACTAGAAGGAAAACTTCATTCTGAAGAGGTTAATCACACCCAAGAAGATGCAAGGAATAAATAATTCCACAGCAGTAAATCCAAAGAGAGGAAATACACCCAAACCACAACAATAAAATAACAGGAGTCCGTAAACAGTTCTCACTGATAACCCTCAACAT